ATAAATATAAACCAGTGCCTGAGCAGGCAATGGAAAGACTATAGCTTCATCACTTCAAGTGATATACTGGCATTCATGGATTAAAAACATGGTTTTACAGCACAGTTGTAATTCAGATCCCATCCAACTTGTAATGAATCCTGATTATCTTAGTACTAGTTACAGCACCTGTGTCAGGCTGAGTTCAACAGCATCACCTGCATATCTGCTGCTAGGTATGTGCTGAAGTATTTTGTTGAGTCAGGGCATTTATATCTTTCTATATTTTTAGGTCAAGCATCTCATTTTAGGTAAGTGTCTAACCATTACCTTCCACTTTTACCTTTGCATATATGCATGATATAAGTTTGATGTCTCAGTGAAATGGATACCACCTATAGTCAAATTCAATTGCAGTGAAATCACGGCACTGCTCAGACTTAATAGCAAAATAAGCTTTTCTGGTTCTTGAGGGCTGCTGAGAACCCTTTACGACAGGGCGAGATAAGACCCTGTGTGCAGCCTCTTACTGCAAGCAGTGGGCGAGAATTAATCCATCCGTTTTGCATCAAATCCAGCTGGAAGGACATGTAGGATCTAGAGAGGCTTTGCTGCCGGAGGACAGCTCTCATGGTGGAGGCAAATACCAAAGCCTGTATCTAGAGTCTGTATCAGCTACTACTGCTTTGTTTTGAAAATTTTCTCCTTGTCAAGGGCAGATTCTTTAAACTTATGCTCTGTACAGGGGTGCCTGCAGTCAGTACTGTCCTGTGCAGGTGTTGATGCTGACATTAGGCTTGGAAATTTCCTTCGTTGCTCAGCAATACATGTTCTGCCATATCTTTCTGACGCAACCATTAAATTAACAGCTTCCTTTAAGTGCACTGGAGGTCAACAGGATGTCAAAACATAAAACCAATTTTCTTAATGTCAGCATAGAGCCTTTGTTATCCCTGTTAGTCACAGTGCCAAAATCAAAAAGGTGTTTCTTCTCACAGGGGATCTCATCCCCAAACTGGTGTAATTGGTCAACACCCCTCTACTGATTCCCATGGCTTTGGGGTCAGCCCTTGAGCATGGAACAGTTTGACCCTCCTGGGTAATCTAGAAATCACATTTGGAAGAGCTAATTCATTGGTGGGGTTTTTTCCTGGTGTTTATAGTTATTGAGCAGATTAATGCTGGTAAATATTAAATAGGGTCATCTGGAAGGGGATAAGCACTCTAGCTTTTGCCAACAAACCACTTAAGCACATGCTTAGAGATAAGCACACATATTAAGGTACATGGAGTTGCTCTTAAGCTTGGTGTTGAGCATATGTTTAGGGTTTCTGGATTTGGAGAAACTCATTGCTTGAAATCATCATCTTTTATCCTTAATGAACGGAAATTTGATTCTAGTATGAGAATTAATTTTCATTAAACAAAAAATTAAAAACTACTAAAATGTAAAAAAGTCAGGATGAAAAGGAAATAATCTAAATTGAATGCCATAAAATGGAAAGAACATAATTTCAAGAAACATTCCAAAATTTCTTTCCCATCTTCCAACCTGCTTTAAAACCTATTCAGGCCCCCAGATTGCCTGGCAGGGTTGGCTCGGCGCCTTGGGCAGCGGATTGCCGTGTGTGGATGTCTCTAGTATCGCTGGTGAATGCCATGCTCGGGTCCGGCCAGCACAGGGGAGGACCACGCTGGAGGAGGAGGTAGGAAGGACTCTCCCCTCACTGAACTGGCTGGAATAATGTACTAAGATTAAAACTTTTTTCCATGCAAATCCTCAGAGCAATGCCATTCATTAGGAAGCAACGATTTGCATGTAGTGAGCAGTTATTTTATGTGCACTTCAAAAACTTGGTTGGAGCTTAAAATATCCAAATTCAGAATTACAGACCTGCTTTGGATGTTACAAAACGATGTTTGGAGAGACAACAACTCACATTAAAGCATATCTGACCTTCTCCTGCCAGGAATACTGCAGGAGTGTGCAAAAGGTGATATGAAGACAGCTTCTGGTCTAGCGTATACGCCTTTGTCCCCAAGAGGAAGATAGATAAATAAAATGGTAAGAAACACTCTGAATCCTGCCTTTCCCTTGAAGCACCATTGAAAACTTGCTGCTGTGCTGAAATGTATCAGCATCAAAACGGAGGGAAGATTTTTCCAGAGAAGTCCAGCACAAACTAAGAATTCCCACAATGCTCAGGGGGAAACTATATAATCCTGGCCCTTCGTTTGGCAAGTGTTTGACTTTTTCATAGGGTGGAGTGTCCCCAGCTGGGGGGGACGGGCGGTGCATGCTGGCATTTCCCCGTCAAGCAAAATTGGCGTAAAGAGAGAGAAAATAAATTATTATCAGATCTTGGATATGAATTCTTTTTAACATTAAAAATGGATAAGCTGTGCTCTTGAAAGGAAGGCAGAGGAAGGAAGGGAAGCCAGGGAAGGGCTGACCCTGCGGTGGGTTGAGAAGCACTCCTGTTAATAGCTATCTGCAGCATCAGGCTTTTAACCAACTCATTAAAAGCTTGATTTGTGCTGTGCCTGGTGGAGGAGTGCCTCCTGTTTACCTACCCATGGCGATGGAGGAAAGGGCCTGCCCTGCTCCCACATGCAAATGAGGATTTACATGGCTAGAGCTGAAACATTTGGCAAGTGAGTGCATGAAATTTAAGGTTACCTGTAGGCAGCTGTTGTTCACCCTGTGGGTGTTTTATATGGCTATTTAATTGCATGTTGCTCAGCCCTAAATGAGTACGACTTACGTGAATAACCACAGCAACGCAAATGCCGCTGCCTCTGAGATAAAGGACTTAATCTGAGAAACAAACGCTTAACTAATAATACCATAGGCCTTATGCACTTTTTAAAGTGTACTTTATCTCTGATAAAAAGGAAAGAAATGGTCTAGTTCTTAAAAATAAACCCAAAAGCATTTTAAGGACTTCCCCCCCCCCTTTTCTATTCTTTTCCCAGGTTGCAAAAATAACATCCAATAATGAAATGGAAACAAGCTGAATAGTTACATCCAGTGGAGGAGGGAAGAGGTAGTCCCAGACAGCTGGAGCGTGTCTGGGCCCGTGTCTCGGTTCTTTTCTTTCTGCTAGTTAAGTGCCACTCCAAGAATGCAGACAATGCTGGCTACGACTGTTTCATATTTAATTTCCACACTTAAATCTGCACTTGTTAAATGAAACCCCATTGTCAGGTTGGCATACATCCACGCTGCCTCCTCAGGTCCGGCTTCAGAGCTTGCTGTCTGTGCTTGGGTGTCCTGCTTGTCACCCTTCAGTGAGGATCAGGTATGCAAAGAGCATTTTGCTGTTTTAGTGCTGCTTGTGGCATTGCAACAAAAGCTTTTGGACTTTTCTTGCAACTGCATCCATGGATAACCCTCATAAATCTTGGTCTGAGGGCAGACAGAAGTGCTGCAGGGAAGGGATGGGGTTTTGGCATGGCCTCAAGAGCGGGGGATCAATTGGGCACTCGGTTGGAGCTGGTCTCTGGGCAAGGTACCAGCTGTGCGGCCCACGGGAGAAAATGCTTGAGCAAGCAGGGCCTGATTCGGCAAAGGGCCGATGTCCTGCGCTGCTCGAGGAGAGGACACGTCTGTGTATGCTTCTGGTCTCGGTGGGGCCCTTTGCATGCTTTGCTGGGTCAGGACCAGAGGGTTCAG